TTCACTGCAGAGCATCCATTGCTGAGACACTGATGCAATGCTAAACAGTCTTTGTCAATCTGCTATTGATTTGGTTTAATGTCTAGATAAGTGATCTCAGTGTCTTTAATATAGAGATTTATTCTTTTATTAATGTAGAAAACAAAGTCAGACAAAGTCTTACAAAGTGCAAAAGCTACAAACTGTACAGTCGAACACTAAAAATGCATTTATAAAAACAATGGACAACAAACCAAACCCCTTCATTCACTTCTCAACATTTCAAAATATATACGTTTTTTATTTTGTCTTTAGTGATCATTCTATTAATGCATTATATTGCAGTTGTCTATAAAAAAAAAAACTTCTCCAAAAATAGAAATCTTCAATGGGAGAGTGTCAATAACATTTTCACAGTTCAGGCCAAGTAAATATGAAATGAATTATTTCCATCATCTGGTTTTGTTTAACAGGTTTGTGTCCGAATCTAAACAGAACTGAAATGAAGATAATGATTTTGTTTATGGAGCAGCAATACAAAAATTGCAACAAAAACTATGTTTCACACAGTGGAATGTTAGCATACTTATCTAGTATACTTAATATATTAATTGATATATATTCTTCTGTATATAATTGACAGTGCAAACTCAGAAATATAGCTTTTTTGTGCATCTGAAATGAGAACTACTGGCCTACAAGTTTAAAGAAATGAACGCGACAACGAACGGCCACATTTTCAGCGGCACTGATTCTGGAAATATTTTCCCCATTCATTTTCTCCATAGGGATTTCAATTTGTGTTTGAAGATGAAATTATATTTAATTTCTTTAATGAGGCAATGCACTACTCTTCCCATGATGCACTGCAAATAATCAAATCAAAAACAACCATACAATATAAAACTAATAAAAGATGTAATACTTGTAATGAGTTATTTCAGTTTGTGTTTGTACAAGAAATCATACTCAGTTTATTTAATGAGGCAATTAACTACTCTTCCCATGATGCATTGCAAATAATCAAATCAAAAGCACAGCTGTATAATATAAAATGATTGACTTAGTCATTTATAGTTATATTTAAATACAAATATTTAAATACAAAATGCAAATATTTATATATACAAGTATTACTATGTAGAATATAGGGAGGCGGACTCGATTAATTAATTTGCAATGAATCATGGGATTGAGTGGAACTGTTTCCATTGTATTAATTAGATTTCTCTAATTAATCTCTGGATAGTGTATTAGAAATCGCATTTACTTGTAAATTAATATTTCACATAATTGGTAAGAATCTATTTCTTTTTGGAGAAAATGATTGTTGGTTTTGCTTCCAGAGCCACACTGTCGTATTATATTGAAATACCGTAATAAATATTGGTAAAGACATCTGTGGTATGTAATATTTCCCATCAGTGATGGGGAATGTGCAAAATAATACCACTCCTCATTGGGAATGTTCTAATAAGGATTCAACTCCTCGGACGCTAGATGAGACTCTTCAGCTTCGACGTATGCAGTGAAACTGTTGTTTTGACTACCCCAATCATAACTGTCCGGCGTAAGACTGTGAACGAAAGCAACAGGCAATTATTCAAACAGTTCTGGTCAGATCTAACATTCTGGTCTTACATCAGTCTAATTTAGAGCGATGCAGCTTTCCATTGAAAAATTTAAAGCTGAGGTATGTAATTTCAGATGTTTTTCTACAGATTAATTGTTGACAATAATACCAAGAATATGCAATTGCAAAAGTAAATATTCTAAGTTTTGAATGCTTCTCAAACAAACAATATGATTTATCATATTAGATACTCACATTTTAACAAGTTTTTTTT